GTAAGCAAAAACCAAACAAAACCCTGCACTCTCTATTTTAAATACATTATATATCAAGAGAGCTAATGGAACCTGTGCTCCATATTTGCTGATCGTGCTATGTATGACCTCTAGCTCTTCCCCTGTAGCCCTCCTTTATCTTCTCCTCTCTCATTTTCCATGTAGTCACACTATACAAAGCTGCAATTTAGACTTGGGGGCTATATATTTTGTGTTTTAATAGAGTGAGGTTTTAGTGTTGCATTTAAAATCACACTGTGAGGTCTAAGGAATGCTAAGATCAGTTCGCTCCCGCTGAAGGCTCTACAAGCATCGTAAGGTAGAACAAAATTGACTGCCTGTCATGACCGTAAATTAGGGATGCATGTAGTGTTGCCATTGGGTTTAAAAATAAATTGTAGGGCAACCTTTTGCTTTTGTGGTTAAAGAAGAATACACTGTAGAGATCAATAGCTGGAGGGAAATGTGGAGCATTTAGGCAATTCTCAATCTCCCGTGGTGGGTAAAGCGGTCTCCACATAAGAGGCAGTGCCACTTTGTGATGAAACAGAATTCCTCTGCCCAGGATAAGATGCTTCCCTGCTCTATTTACTCTTACCTTTGCTGATCTGAAGTCACCCAAAGTTTTCCACTTTGAGCTCCTACCTTCCCTCCTCTTCTCAAGCATCCAGTGTGAATTTTATTTATTTATTTGGCTCTCTGATTCAGTTACAAGCGCATACCTGCCTTAAAGCAGGTCAGACTATTTCAGCCCTGTGTTTAATAACTCGCCTGGTAGCCAGAGGTGAGAAGGAATTATGTGTAGGCACACAAGTGGGCTGCCTGGAATCTGGCTGCCTGGTTTCTGTATTGGTGGAAGAGCAGCCCCTCAACTTCCCTCTGCCAGCACACATGGTAGGGTGCATTTTTTTTTTTTACTAGTTTACTAAGAGGCTGGTATTCAGGGGTTTCTGTACTAGGCACTTTGGGAGGGGAGAGTGTCCTCTCCTGTGGCCAGCATGAAAATGCAGAATGCTAGATTCTTATCCAGGTGAGTAAAAAATGTTATTTGCAGGCTAGTAACTTTTGTCTACTTATTTACAAGGCTGGGCTGTTTGTCCCATCTAACCCCAGTATTGTCTGCTCCAACCCTCCCCAGTCTGGTGTCCTCCAGGGGTAGTTGGAACTACAACTTGGGCAGGTGGGTTGTGCATTTGGAATCTTGCTGGTTGTTGACATCACCCAGAGCTGGGCAAGTAAAATGAGGAGAACCATCAGAGGCATGACCATTATGGAAGGACATTGTTAATGGTTTTACTTTATTTCAGGCCAGGTCCTAAAACAGGCACTTACCATAATATGTACGTTGTAGTGGCATATGTGTGTGTATGTTTGCGATTCAATCTAAACAGATGGAATGAGATTTGAAGTACCTATTTTTACTTCCTTCAACAGAGGAGACCAAACAAGTGTTGAGACTGAGCTTAACAGAGTTCTCACTCCCCAAGTTCTACTTGCTGTTTGGAATAAGCAAGGTGAAGTCGGCAGCTGTCATTGCATTCCGATCCAGTTACCGGGACCGGTCGTTCTCTCCCGGCTCCTATGAGAGGGAGACGTTTGCACTGACTTCTCTGGAAACGGTGACAGAAGCTCTGCTGGAGATTATGGAGGTATGATATGTGCAAGGCAAACCATGAATGTGCCATCATCTGTGGTTTGAATTCAGGGTTGTAGTTGGTACTCAGTTAAAACTTTGGTTGGTTGTTTCTGGGCAGGACAAATTTTAATCAGTGATGCCAAGAGTTAGTGCATGGGCTTGTATTTGGAGGGAGCAAGAAAGAAAATGTTTCAAATGACCTTGCTGACAGTGAATGGCAGCTCTTGGCTTAGTCAACACATGTAGCAGACTCAGGTGGTAGTGGATTGTACCACTCCCATAATCTTTGACATAGGCCATGCTGGCTAAGGTTATGGAAGTTGGTGACCGCCAACATTTGAAGGGCACAGGTTCCCCTTCCCTGCCTTGTACCTTAAAAAGGTAAAGGTACCCCTGCCCGTACGGGCCAGTCGTGTCCGACTCTAGGGTTGTGCGCCCATCTCACTTAAGAGCCGGGGGCCAGCGCTGTCCGGAGACACTTCCGGGTCACGTGGCCAGCCTTGTACCTTAGTACCTCACAAAGGACACCTTTGCTGCATGTGTGGATAACACCAAAAGGTGTCTGTTAACTTAGCAGTTAAAGACAGCAGACAATGTATCCATAGGGAGAAAGCTGTTGTTTACTGATTACTGGTATGGGATCATAGAATAATATAGTTTGAAGAGACCACGTGGGTCATCTAGTCTAACCCCCTGCAATGCAGGAATTTTTTACCCAGGTGGGACTCGAACCCAAAACCCTGAGATTAAGAGTCAAGCTCTACCAACAGCTAATTATATGTCTTATATATATATACATATAAGGCAATTATACGTATGTAATGTTGCATTTATTTTGGCTTTATTTTAAAAAATAAAAAGCAAGCATCATACAGAGAAAGTGAGCACACGCCTGAAATTTAATATTGCTTTTACCTTAACGTTATTTGCTCAGACACTGTTGCTTTTGTCTTTCTCCTCCGTAGGCATGTATGAGAGATATTCCGACCTGCAAGTGGCTTGACCAGTGGACGGAACTAGCTCAGAAGTAGGTCATTTTGCCCCCGACCCCAAGCTTTGGTGGTACCCCTGTGTTTGGTGGTACCCCTGTGTCACATTTTCTATTCCTTCAGCCATCTCCCACCCCCACCCGATTTCACTGTTGGCCTTATTCTAGTCGGTGGCCTGCTTGATAGCTGCTTTCCCTCCTGCACAGGTTTGCATTCCAATATAATCCGTCCCTCCAGCCAAGAGCCCTGGTTGTCTTTGGCTGCATTAGCAAACGGGTGTCACACGGACAGATAAAGCAGATCATCCGGATTCTTAGCAAGGTATGTACCCTCCTTTCCTGTCCGCTGTTGCCTTTCTTTTCATGTAGCTCTTATTTCCAGGCTAAGGCACTTCAGCCCATTGAAACGCATATTGTCTGGAATGCAAGCAAGCATTCAACTCCTGTGAAACATTTCTGTACTGTGCAGTACGCTGCAGTCACAGAAGGCTTGAAGTCTTCTTTTCCCCCCAAAATGTTTTTATTCATTTTATAACACAAATAAACAACATAAACAGAAAAACAAACAATACAAACAAATTCTTGTCTTGTCCTTATTTTTTCTAAGCATCGTTAGGTGGGCTTCCCCAAATCCCCCCTATCTGATTTTCATTTTACCTCATCTTTAGCAGTTACATATATCATGATTTCTAACCATTTTTTTTATCACACTTACTTTAACCATAAAAAGCTTCACATTTTATTACTTACAGATAATACTATTTTAAAATACACTATCTTCTACTTCTAACCCTACAGCCTATATCCACTTCCAAAGCTATTCTAAGATTTAAATATTAACATAATTTTTCAAATATTCCTTAAACTTCTTCCAATCTTCTTCCACCATCTCTTCTCTCTGGTCTCGGAGTCTCCTGGTCAGTTCAGCAAGTTCCATATAGTCCATCATCTTCATCTGCCATTCTTCGATAGTTGGTAAATCTTGTTTCTTCCAATTCTTCGCTAGTAATAATCTCACAACTGTTGTGGCATATAGAAAAGAAGGCTTGAAGTCTTGTGGCCTTTTCGTTGCACTGTCTGAGGAGTTATGGTGGTTCAAGAGACCCCCAAAAGTTTAGGGGTGCTTGTCTGCCCCCTCACACTTGGATGTGCTTCTCCTGGGCCTGGTACTACTACATAGAATGCTTGGGCTTGTGGTATCTGCCATGTTTTGTGGCAGGGGGCATTTTTCCCATCACATTGTACTTTAGCTGTCAATAAGTTCACCATTCTGGTTGCCCAGGATTACACAGTGCTTAGCTCACAACCCAACTCTGAAAAACAACCCTGGATCCAACCCTATTGATGACACTTTTGAAACAAGCCCATAAATGAGAAACTGACAATCTGTGGAGGAGGAAGCAGGGCTTTCAGGCTATGTGAGGAACGCTCCTCTCAGCCGATTCAGTTTTCTCCTGGAGCCCTTGAAGGATACATCTCACAGGTTGGATCTGTCACTGTGTGAATGGAGGCAGAATGTGAAAGTAGTGATCCAGCTGCTATATATTGCATATTCCAGCAGGAGGCCAATCTGCTATCCTATTGCTTTACAGCTTGTGTTGTAATGATAGGCACCCTTACCTCAGAGTAAGACCCATTGAAGGCAGTGTAGATATGCTTAGGATTCTGCTGCTTGTCCATTGGTAACATATTAGATCTTGTAATGCAAAAGTGGGCCTAAAAAGATTGATGAGGGCATTCTCAGGATACTGCCAAAGAGAACAGCTAGCTGTGAATTACAAGAAAACTGAAGTCATGGTGTTTTCAAGAAACTATAGGGCCCATAGATTGTATAATACAGACATGCTTTCACTTTCACAATATTGAATATACTGCCTTCAGCTGTACTTGTGGGTCGATTTAAAAAAAAAATCCACTGGGGAAATGGTTATGTCCCTGTGGAGCTGGCAGTATTGAGTCAGTGGCTCATGTGCTTCTGGCTTGCACTCTTTATAAAGATTTGAGGAGTGAGGTTATTACCCTTCTATTATTGTCCATGCTGGGTCGCTCAACCATTGCTACCGTGTCCTTTCTTTTAGCAGATCAAGATGATCAGGTGACAGCAAAAACTGCAAAAAAAAATAAAACAGCAGGGGCAATTAGAATAAGATCTATTATTTGATTATTGATTTAAACCTCCAGAACGTATTTTGTATAGTTAAGTTTTTGCCTCTATCTTCAGTACATTGGTTTTTTAAAAATTGCTATGGCTAGTGGCTGATGCAAATACAGATTCTTCTTCTGATCTTGTAATGGGCTTACTTGTATATCCAGCTGGTTTTCTGCTTAAATCTTTCAACTGGGAGGTACCTTTGTTGCTTCTTTGTTCCCAGAAGGGGAAGTGCCATAGCTCACTGGCAGAGCACTTGCCTTGCATGCAGAAGGCCTAAGGTTCAATCCCCAGCATCTCCTGGGAGAGGCTGCTGTCTGAAATCCTGAAGAGCTGCTGCCCGTCAGTGTAGACAGTACTAGGCTAGATGGAGCAATGGTCTAAGGCATCTTCCTGCGTTCCATATTTAGGCTAGAGCTGCATGCTACTGGTACAGCAGAGAGAGGCTGTGGTTGGTCCTGAATGGGACCGTAGAACAAATGAGTCCAAAGCAAAGTGTTGTCATCACAGGACTCAATCTTCTGCACAAATAGGGGGAAATTGTGGCATAAAGAATAGAAAGAGCAGAGGGGAACAAATAGACTTTTCGCTCAGCTGTGAAAGGGATCGATAAAGGGAAAAGATGGGAGTAATTTGTAGACTAACAGCTTGATGCTAGAATGAAAATAAACATGAAATCATTTCTGAGGGGGTGATGCCATAGTGACACAGGGGTGAGAGAGGTTCACTTTAACAGAGGCATTTGTGATTAACAGAAGCGGGAAGTGGTTGGAGAGTAAGAATGCAAAAGGAAAGACAGAGCCTCTGCCTCGTATTTCAGTGGTTATTTTTACTATATTTACATAGCTGCCCACCAAAGCATATTCTGCAATATAAAATATGAAATAATAAAAAAAACTAAAAGCACGGATTTTAAAGCTAAGAGGATGACTCCACGAAACATACGTTATTGAAAATGCCTGGGGGAGCAACAAGGTCTTCATGTGAACTTCTGTAGGAAGACTGATCCATATAACTAGGGTGCCACCACTGAATAGGTCCTCCTCTCCCTAGTGATAACCCACCTTGTTATTGGGCAGGGGCAATGCAAATCAGCTTTTGAAATCTGGAGCAAAGAGAAGGGGAGCCATGCCTTGCAATCACAAGCCAATCCTCTTTTCCCTTTCTTGATTACAGGGTCTCGAGAGCTGCTTGAAAGGCCCCGATAACTACAATAGCCAGGTTCTAATAGAAGCCACGGTCATAGCACTGACCAAGCTGCAGCCACTTCTCAATAAGGTAAGCTGCCTCAGTGCTCAGCAGCCTGTTCTGCAAATACAAGGTGGTTCGAATGAGGAGGCTCTGGTAGCTCAAGCACAGATCTTCCACCCATCTTTCCTCTCTGAACATCTTCTTTGCTGAAGAGGAATTTTTAAATGTTGCTGCTGTACATATTTGGCAGGTGGAACTTAGTATGGCCTGGCTTAAGACACTGTGGCCTGATGTCATTAGGACCATTCCTTGGGCTTGCACATTCTCTCCCTCGCACATTCTACTTCTTCGCCTTACTTCTTGGTTCTCAGCAAACCATGTTTTCTGTTCTGTTTGAGAGGCAAACTATGGTTTGCGCTAATGGTAGTTTACTTGACTTGGTCATAATCAGGAAGTTAGGGAGGGAATCGGAGCACCCACAGGCAGGGGGGGTGTAGAGGGGGTGTTTGAGTCTGAGGTGTGGCACCAACAGCTAAATGCTGGTGATTTTGAGTTGGTTGTTTAGCTAGTAAGTGCCTGGCATTTTTTCAGTCTCTGCCAGCCCAAGCCCAGGATACTGAAGCACAGTTTGAAGTGGAATTTAGGATTCCATCTTTTCTCAGAGATGGTAATTGTAGCTTCCTTGTTTCGATGAAATGGGAAACTGTGGTTAATTAGAGACTTCCTGAAGAGAGTAGCTGTATGTGTGGTCAAAAGGCTGTTTGGTAACATAGAATTGTAGCATTGGAAAGGTCCAACTCTCTGCAATGCAATTATCTCAGCTAAAGCATCCATGACAGATGGCCACCCAACTTCTGCTTATAAACTTCAAATGAAGGAGAATCCACCACCTGAGAGAGCCCATTCCACTGTCCAACAGCCCTTGCCATCATTAAGTTCTTCCTAAGGCTTAGTCAGTATCTCCTTTCTTGTGAATTGAGTCCATTGATTTGGGCCCCAACCTCTGGAACAGTAGAAAACAAGCTAGCTCCATCTTGCATCTTTACATATTGTGGCTTACTGAGCCGCAGCATATTATCCAAACCAAGACAACAGGTACACAAATGTGATTCTCCCCAATTTGCATATATTATACCAGTTATAGGCCCCCTTCGGCTGCTAGGGTTGTTTACATTGCAAAATGAATCCAGTGTACGTGATGAATGCAGCGTGTGACTTTCTGCTTTGGCTGTTCATCACAGAAGTGAGTTTTGCATTTCAACCTGGTGGCTTTTTCCTTCCCCTGTCCAGGACTCGCCTATGCACAAGGCCCTCTTCTGGGTGGCCATGGCTGTTCTGCAGCTGGACGAAGTCAGTCTGTATTCAGCAGGCACAGCTCTCCTCGAGCAGAATCTCCATACCCTGGACAACCTTCGAGTATTCAATGACAAAGTAAGTCAGCCACTTGTCAGGAAGCATCAACACACACACACACCTGAATGCTCTTTAGTCGTGCCGGCAATTGGAGGTGAAACTTGCTTGAAAAACGGTGCTGCTTTCCTTTTGAGTGATAACTTGAGTGTTGAGAATGGAAGCAATTCCCCCACTCTACTTCAGGTTATTTAAAATAGTAATGGAGAAAATAATAATAAAAATGACGACAACAACAACAAAACAACAACAACAACTAATAATAATAGTAATAATAGTAATAATAATAGAAGATGATGTGTATGGGAATTGTCCAGTTGTGCTGCAGGCTTCATTAAAACACTGGAGCCAGAGGAACTGCAGGTTGTCTGGGAAGCCTGCAAAGTACCGTATTTTTCGCTCTATAAGACAAACTTTTCCCCTCCTAAAAAGTAAGGGGAAATGTGTGTGCGTCTTATGGAGTGAATGCAGGCTGCGCAGCTATCCCAGAAGCCAGAACAGCAAGAGGGATCGCTGCTTTCGCTGTGCAGCGATCCCTCTTGCTGTTCTGACTTTGCTTCTCTGGAGAGGCGCTGTGCAGAGAGGGAGAGCTGCGCAGCGCTCCTTCAGCAAAGCGGGAGGAGAAACGGAGCCCCTTCCATTTCTCCTCCCGCTTTGCTGGAGAGGCGCTGCGCAGAGAGGGGGAGCTTATAGAGCGAAAAATATGGTAAGCTCCTTTCCCATGGATGTTCTTTTGGACCACAAGAGTCCACCGTGGTTCCTATCTCGGGTTTTGGTGGTGTGACTTTATTAGATAAAAGAGTTGGCTAATTTGCCAGGTAGTCTTGGGAATGGTTCCCAAGAGTCCTGGCTGCCATGGCTTCAGGAGCTCCTGAGAACCCCACCCTTATTATAATCAGTTTTGTGCAAATATATAAAATAATACCAGACGAAACAAAATAGAAAACCGTAGCAATAAAATTTGTAATAAATGAGCCCTGCCAAATACGTAATAATTTTAGCAGACTTATAGTTTTGTTTTATATGCCTGGCGCTTTATAGTATTAGACATTCATGAGCACGGTGGACCAGCATCTCCCCCCCCCCCCCCCGATGATTGTGATGGTCTGTACTTTGGCTTCCCAACAGAGCCCTGAAGAAGTTTTCATGGAGATCAGGAGGCCTCTGGAGTGGCACTGCAAGCAGATGGACCATTTTGTGGGACTCAATTTCAACTCCAATTTCAACTTTGCCTTGGTGGGGCATCTGCTAAAAGGTAGGCACGTAGCCCAGGTGGACCTGCTTCCTTTGTCTCAGACCATGTCAGTTGAAGGTACGCATCCCACTGTTTACAGACACTCACTGAAACATTTTCCCATCAGGTTTTATGGAGGCAGTTTCATTGGTCAGTCTGCCAGGTAATTGACATTTAAAGCACACTTAAAGCACACCATTCAGCCCACCACAAAAATCCTGGAACTGTACCCTTCACAGAGTGACACTTCCAAGCGCCGTTAAGGAACTAGAGTTCATAGGATTCTTTCAGGGGAAGTGCTTTGAATGTGCTTTAAATACATAGTATGCACACAGCCTCTGTTTGTTTGGCAGACTCAGAGGGGGGCATGATCAGATTGGCAGCTGGCTTCAGATTAGCTGCAGCCCCCACCACATCCAGTATTTTGACTGCTTGTGCTGTAGACGACAGATTGTGTGTGTTGTCTTTCTGCTGACATTCTGTGAAGGAGGATGCATTTATTGATATGTTTTCCGCTTGCTTTTTCACATCTTATTTATGATGTGAATCTTACATACCTGTAAAGCTTTGTTCTCTGTTAATACATAAAAGGAAACTCTTAGTCTCCTGTTTCCTAGGATTCCCAAGGGGCCGCCTTTATTCACTGCCATTAGAGCGGCAGTGGAGAATACAGAACACCTCCGAATCACCGGAATGGAGGGCAAGGGGAGGGAGGGCTGGGAAGGACAAGTCAGTTGGCGGCACTTGGAGGGAGAGAAGGAGCTGAGGAGAGAGACCTGTGGGGAGGAGGAAGTGGAGGAGAAAGCAAATGGACAAGACCTCAGAGAGCAGGAGAAGAGTGAACACAAGCAGCAGAGCCAGTAGGCTGAAAGATGTTTTTATGATGCAAACTGAGAGGTATTCCATAATGTTTCTAGATAAGATAAACCTTGTTTTGCACATGTTCAGAGCCAAATGTGCGGGCCATTTTCAGGCCCGGAAAAGGGCAGGGCTCTGTTGTACGCTCTGCCAAATCAGGGGTTGCCTGTATCCATTGCTGAAAACCACAGGAAGGGAGAGGGCTCTTGTGCTCAGGTCCTGCTTGCATCTGCTTGGCTGCTATGAGAACAGGTTGCTGGACTAGATGGGCCATTGGCCTGGTTCAGCAGTCTCTTCTTATGTTCTTATTCAGCTAGGAACATAGGAAGCTGCCTTGTACTGAGACAGGCCATTGGTCCACCAGGCTCAGCATCGTCAACAGACACATAGTCAAGTGGTAAATTTGGGTTGGGCTGTGTAGCACATTGGGAGGGGGGTGTGGGTGGGTGCGTCTTTTCCTCATTTAAATGTGTGTGCTTATACAATAAATAAATCTTCATATTCATTAGACTCCAGAGTGATTACCCGTTTGCCTTTCCTCAGCTGTGGTTGAGAACCGTGTGCATTACTTTAGGATGCAGAGGAGGTAGATGAACTGAACACTTTTGG